GGTAACGGGCAGAAGATTCGAAAGGCGTTTCGTTAAGGCGATTCTGAGTCGACTCTTTCTTTTGAGAAACAATATCTATATTTATCATGCACTTTTTTGATTAACAATTTTGCAGACTGTTTACATTGAAGGATAGCTACCTTACAAACTGCCAAAGAGATATTTTTCGAAAACCCATATGACCTGCTCTTTAAATCTTTGTGGGGAGACTAATGTTTTAGACTTGACTTAGTAATATGCCTAAATTTAACTAAATTTAAATTTGATAAGTTTAATTTTTCTATTGAACCCAGAAAATTATTTAGTATAGGTTTGCAACAACTTTGCCTTATTCATTTTATCTCAAGGGGGCACTATGTCATATATTGTCAGTCCATGTTTACAGCATGAATGCTTGCTCTGCTGCATTGTGCATCTTATTGTGCAGCTAGTGGATTGGGAGATTTCCTGAATTCTCTCTCGCTTTCTAATGCGTCTTTCAAATCGAACACTAATAAACTTAGTCATGTGGTACCGTTGTCTTCATTTCATAGGACTTTCTTCCTTTTAATATTTCATTGTGCTGATTGTTTCATATTTTCAGGTTACAGCCGACCTATCAGTCAACAAAATCCAACCTCCAACATCTCTGGCACACCTGCTATTTCTCCTAATAATTCCACCACATCCACTCCTGCCACCTCCCAGCCTCAGCCTACCACACCAATCACTCCAGTTTTTCCTGGCATGGTCCCATCCCAGAACCCTGTAACCCCCTCGCCTACTCCTGCCCCCTTGCCCTCAGTCATCAAAGGGCCTCCTGTCCCAGCTGGCTCTCCCCAAGTTGCCTCAAACTCCAGTGGCCACACCACGCCAGTTCCTTCTCCGTTTCCTGGCATGCCCCCTTCTGGTCGAAACACCCCTTCAGTCATTAAAAGTCATACCCCATCTGGAACACCCTGTGGAACACCCGGGCCAAGTACAACCATCCCTTCTTCTCCCTTCCACAGTGCTCCCCACTCAGAAACACCTACTGGTGGACTCACATCTACTCCCAGAGCAACTGGTGATCCCTTGACTCCTCATGGAGCTATGGGATTACACTCAAAGAAGGGGTACCCACCCTCCTCAGATTCCCAGTCAGCACTTTTGCTCCCTGGCACTCCCTCTACCCAGTCACATTCAGTTATCCGTAGT